GACAATGCACACCACGTAACTTTCATATTAGGTGTTTTTATACTCATTTATTTATACTAATTTACCGCCAGTGACTTTAAGCAAGATAGATGGGCTGTTGAACATTAAGTGTGCACACAAACATTGAATATAAAATATATATAAAAAACACACAGAAAGATATTAGAGCCAGAAAACTGCATATAAAGCTAACTTTACCGCGGTGTTGAAATTCCATTTCCATACATGTATACATCATCAATGGAGAATATCAGGGAGGCATACAGTACATGAAAGTGGGTTCGGATTTAAACCTTAACTCTAGCACCGCAGTAATATTAACTTTATTCAGTTTTCCAGCTGCCATAACTTTCAACAAAAGCGAACAACACCCATTTTTCAGATTTATTTACGGTCGAATATTTAATGAATATTTCAGTGGTGGTGTGTGCACTTTATGATCAATAGCCCAGCTGTGTTTCTTACGGTCACTGCAAGTGAATAGACACTGTGCAATTATTAATAAATTAATGTGAATAACAACACATAATATGAAAGTTACATGGTGTGCATTTCCCCCCAAAGTTTAATGCTTAACGCACACTTAACTGGACATGTCGGTATCGTTTACGTCTATACTTATTAGTCTATAAATAGGCCAAAATTCCATCTTTTGTATTTCACTCGGACACAAAGCACTTATTAATGTTTTGCGACTCATGTGGTCCTTGGGGGCATCCTGGTGCCCGCGGGCACCATGTTGGTGACCCCTGCCATAGAGCATAGAGTATACTTACACAAGCCTATAGATGGTATAGGCTACTGCACACCTAGGCTATATGGTATAACCTAAATAACGATAAAAAGTACAGTATACTAAATACATAAACCAGTAACATAGTTATTGCCATTATCAAGTATTAAGTACTGTACATAATTGAATGTGCTGTCCTTTTATACGACTGACAGCACAGGTTTGTTTACACCATCACCACCACAAACACATGAGTAATGCGTTGTGCTATGACATTTCAACAGCTACGACATAGGTAGGTGATAGAATTTAGGAATTCTAACAAACGTTGTTATGTAGTGCGTGACTGTATATTTATTATTGACTCATTGATGAACAAATGCTAGACACTATTTTTGCTTTTCTAGTTTTTCAAAAAAGCAAAAATCCTCTTCAGATTCCTTTTGGTTAGCAAAAACTTAGTGCTAATGTAGGTCTTTCATAAGAGTAAAGTGGAGTAAAGCGAACGTTCGTAAAGTGGGGGATATCTGTACTGGTAATGGAAAAGTCAGTAGAGATCAGAGTCTTTTGGAGGCACAAGGATACCAGCTAATCACATTGCTGATGAAGTAGGATGAGTTGCTGATCGGGAGATCTCCTTGCCTTGTGAACATGGTAATGAATCCACTACAATAAAGTAATTTATTTTTATATAGCGCTTTGGGGCGACTGTTGTGAATGGTGCTATGTAAGAATATATTGAATTGAATTGAAAATCTACTCGTATATTGCAATGAGCGAATAGCAAACACAACTAAAGTATTGAAATTATAGATGATCCTTTATTTCTCAATAAGCTAATTCAATATAACTCTCGCTTTCCAAATTTAAAACATAATGTTACCATGCCTTGAAGAATCCATGTAGAATATCTTGTGCTGCTGTCCTCTGATAGGGGGAAGCTGGTGGGAGAGGAGAGACTGGCAGCCCAGGAAGACCAGGGATCAAGGTTGGTACGGGGCACATAATGAGGGAGCTGCAGTGCCCCCTGTCTGTAGTCATTGCTGTTCCCTTCAGAAAATGATTACCAAGTTTGTTGGATCATTACCATGCCTGAGTAAGTCCAAATAGAGCAAGGTTTACATGGAAGAAAGAGGTAACTGAATGCAATCATTACTAGTGTGTGATATGGTCCTTGAGACTAATGCTTGACATAGCTTTATTTATGACCATTAATTATTAATTATTTATTGCTTTTTTATGACCATTTTATGTACTTTTACGTATACATTTTAACCTCAAACCTTATATGTTTTAAACAAACAGTCACCACCTTTCAATTCTTCTGTTGTTTTAGGGTGTACAAGGTAAACCAGGACCAAAAGGATTTTCAGGGAATCCTGCTCAAAAGGTAATAAGAAATAAGCAATAAGAATTATGCCATTCTAAAAAAGAGAAAGCAGAGAAGATAACAGCAATTTGTAAAACCTTCTGTTCAGGGGCACAGAGGTCCAGAAGGTACAAAGGGGGCACCTGGAAGTCCAGTAAGTGTCTACTTCTACAGTGTCTTCTCCAGTGATTCTTTTGTCTTGTTCCTGACAATGCAGGTGGTGGTTCTGATGTCAATCTCTCCTCACTGTCTGCCACAGGGTCGGCAAGGCGTGCCAGGACCCAAAGGATACACTGGATCTCCTGTAAGAAAATGTCACATCTTATTTAAACTACTGAATTAAGTAGGTTAACATTGACTCATATGGGTACAATCATAGGTATATGAAAACATAACACTCTCTATTGCCCTCCTATTGCTCAAGGGTCTGGGTGACCCTGCTTTGTCATTGGATTTGGAGCCTTTGCTGAATAAATAAAATGTCTGGATTTAAGATTATACATAAACATCACAACCTTTAGGTATTTCTTCTTTGCAGGGTATGCAGGGTAATATTGGACCTTGGGGAGAAGTGGGTCTCCAAGGACCACCAGGAGACAAAGGCCCTCCTGGAGTAATAGGTCCACAAGGAGCTACTGGCTATCCCGTGAGTGCTTCAACATCCCTGGGGTTTTTGGTCATGAGTATTAGTTATAGGTGCTATAGAGAGATTCTCTTTACATCAGTGTTTCTCAGCCTAGTCATTGGGGACCCCCAGACATTGCACATAACCTCTCTGGTGAGAATGGAGCCTGAGCTGGTGCGGGAGGTAGAGAGATACCGACTAGATATAGTTGGACTTTGGAACCAAACTCTTGGAGAGGGGCTACACTCTGTTCCACTCTGGAGTTGCCCATGGTGAAAGGCGCCAGGCAGGGATGGGGCTACTTGTAGCCCTCCCAGTTCGGTGCCAGTGCGTTGGCGTTTACCCCGGTGGATGAGAGGGTTGCCTCCCTTCGACTTCATGCCGGGGGACAGACTCTGATGGAGGTCTATGCATATGCGCTGAACACCACTTCGGAGTATCCAGCCTTCTTGGAGGCCTTGGAGGGGGTGCTAGAATGCTGGAGGACTTTAATGCTCACGTTGCTAATGACAGTGTAACCTGGAAGGGTGTGATTGGGAGGAACGACCTGCCCGATCGGAATCTGAGTGGTGCTCTGTTAGTGGACTTTTGTGCTAATCACAGCTTGTCCATAACGAACACCATGTTCAAGCATAAGGGTAACCTGGCACCAGAGCACCCAAGGCCAAAGTTCAATGATTGATTTTGTAATCGTATCCTCGGATTTGTGTTCGTATGTTTTGGACACTTGGGTGTAGAAAGGAGCTGAGCTGTCAGCTGATCACCACCTGGTGGTGAATTGGATCCAAAGGCGGGGGAGGATGCTGGATAGACCTGACAGACCCAAACGCATAGTGATGGTGTGCTGGGATCATCTGTCGGAGGCTCTGCCTGGGAGATCTTCAACTCACACCTCCAGCAGAAATTCTCTTCTCTCCCAACGGAGTCAGGGGACATATAATTAAGGAAACAAATAATTAATGATTGATGCAATTTACACACTTAAATAGTTACTTTATGAAAGTTTTGATGTGGAAAAAATAATTGCAAAATATATTTTGGTTGCTACACCTGACGCTTTGTTCCATTTCCACTTTGAAGGGTATGGATGGACCTCCCGGATCAAGTGGAGTTGTTGGAAGTAAGGGAGATAAGGTAAGCTTAGTCAGAGATGACTGATGTGATCACAGGGTCATAACTGCTAAAATCTTTATTTGTATTGTACTTTTGAAGGCACTAGTTACTTTCATCTAATTTAAGTACTGTTTTTTTTCAGGGATTAGAAGGATCTGAGGGACAGAAAGGAGTTGCTGGTGTCGATGGTGAGGAGGTAGATTGATTGATTGTTGAATTACTGTAATAACACCACCATACAATAATATCACACAGTAATACTGTAGTTATATACAGTGCCAGTCAAAAGTTTGGACATGCCAAGTTACCTGCAAAGGCCAGTGGAGTGTCGCATAACATGACCAGGCCACCTGACCTAAACACAGCAGAAATGATTTTGGAGGCGTTTGACCCGAGAGTGAAGGAAAAGTGGCTAATGTGTGCTTAGCTTATATGTGGGACCTCCTTCAGGACAGCTGGAAAAGCATTACGTCAATTAGAGGTTCTTAATGTCGGTTTTGATTCATTTTTATATTAATTGGCCAGCCCTACCCTGAGGCCACCTCATGAAAGAGGAGACATAGAGGAGACAGTAGGGCCAGCCAGTCCCTGGAGCAATTGGGGTTAAGGGCCTTGCTCAAAGGCCCAATGGTGGGATCACTCTGCTGACCCAGGGATTTGAACCGGTAACCATCTGAGTCCGAACCTGCATCACTGCCCCTACCTAACAAATTATTATTTTTTTGTTTAATACTTTTTTTGTTCAGTGCATAATTCCATCAATCTATCCATCCATTTTCTAAAACCACTTATCCTGTTCTGGGTCACAGGGGGTTTGGAGCCTATCTCAGAGGCTACAGGCGCAAAGCAGGGAACAACCCAGGATGGGGTGCCAACCTATCGCGGGGCTACATAAGTACATATATGTTATTTTTTAGTTTTGATGTCTATATAATTATTTCAATATGTAGAGAATAGTAGAAATAAACCTTTCTATGGGTGGGTATGTCCAAACTTTTGACTGGTACTGTTTATAATCATCTGCTATTTTAGAACCTGTAAACACTGTATTTTCAAATTAGGCTTTTTAGTCCAAGATAAACTAAAAAAAAATCTTGATAAAGAATTTTCCAAGATTTCCAAGCAGGAGATAAGTATATCTGTGTTATAGGGGCCACCTGGATCGAGGGGGGTCATGGGACCATCCGGGGTAAAGGGGCAGCTTGTGAGTATCATCCAGATTCAAATGCATTCAGTGGTGATATGATTTGCTCATGAACTGCTTCAACAAGAGTGACTCTATCAGAATGTGATGTCATCCTCAAGATGTCTTTCGCATGCTGAATGCAGGGAGAGAAAGGGAAGCGCGGCTCCCCTGGTGGTGAGGGTGTGAAGGGTGCCCCTGGAGAGAGGGGCAGCAGAGGAAAACAGGGTGCAGAGGGACCGCCTGGGAGTCAGGTAGCTTTGGTAGTCTTTCTATTACAATACTGCAGCAACACAGTACTTTGACTGGACTGCAAATGTGCAGAGTCACTGAAGCTAAGTTTATACAGTGCTGACATTTTTGAAAGGAATGATGTTCACAGTCTTGTCCGACTTTTTTTCAGGGCTACACAGGCTCTCCAGGAAAGAGAGGAGAATCCGGGCTCACTGGAGAGAAGGTGAGTGATGAATGGACACACTGCCTTCCCTCAGCACTGACCTATAAGTAGGACAAATGTGTTTGCAAATACCGTTTTATAAACCAGCTGGTCGGTCACCCTTTCTGAACATTGGCAAATACAACACTAAATGACACTAAATGCTAAAATCAGAAACTATTAGTTGTATGTATCCATTTGGTACAAAAGTACTTTTATCCATAGTGATTCATAGGAAACTCAGCGTTTGTGATGGGTGAAGGCACTTGTTACATGTCTACAGGGCCAGCAGGGTGCTCTGGGTTCGACAGGGCTCCCGGGGAGATATGGACCTGGGGGTGAGATCGGCGTAGGTGGGGCAGTGGGAGACAAAGGCTTTCGAGGCCTGACTGTAAGTACATTGTCACTCAGAGGGCAAGAGATCATTCATTCTTGTGACAAATAGGCAGCATTCCCAAATAACTTGCCTAGCTTGCTTGCTTCTGTTTTTTGGGTTAATTGTTTTTATTTTTCATCGAAAAATTCATGGTAATATTACAATAATAAAGTTACATGATAGTTCCTGCTGGTTATACTGTAGGATACCAATCTGGATACTATTTAGATGTGCTATGTACTGAACCAAACTGTGCCCTGCTTCTCTCCTCCAGTGGGGTAACAACTGACAGGTAAAAACTGGAGTAGGTGGACATGGTAGCAATTTTTATATTTATTCCAGGGTCCACCTGGCAGGCTGGGTTTGTCTGGCCTTCAGGGACAAAAGGGGAAGAATGTAAGATATCCCACCATTTTTGCTTAATCACAAGTAGACAACATGTAAATGTAATATTACATAATAAATACATGTAATTATATGGGGCACTGGGTTTATGGAACAGAAAACAGAAGAAACACTTTACGCTTTCCTAACAGGGTTTGCAAGGAAAAGAAGGCATTGTGGGAACTGATGGACGTGGTGGGCCTAAGGTACGGGATGTCATAATGCTATTTGGTAAATATTACTATATTTAATAGTCATACATTTTTATAGTAATGGTAATAAAGAATATCTATTATGATTTTTAGGTTTATCCCTTTCCTTTAGTGTGTTGTATAGCTTTATGTGCATGTGAATGGTCTGCAGAGTCTTAAGGCCCAAAGTACACTCCAAAAGGAGTAACTCTGACCACAGAAACCACTCTTCTCTACTCTGCCTGAAACACTTTGTTGGAATTCCAGCCCTTACTTCCGTGACATGATGAGGTCACCTTGTAACAGATGGGGCTTCTCCCATCAAGCACTTATGTGAAAAAAGCTTACAAAGTTATGCGCATTTGAGTTAAGCGTATACTCCCCTCACCAGCACAGACACAGTACCAGTTTTAAGATCAAAGTAAACCATTCTTGCTTAATAAACTAATTATACTTCTTGCACAGCTGCATCTTCTTCTTTGGGTTAAGTGTGGTGGGCATGTCCACGCCTATTAGGGGGGTAATACGCTTAACCCCAAGGCGTGTAACTTTTTAAATGCTTGATAGGAGAAATTATCCCCTTAACAAATACCAAATAAGGCTTTATATTAACTACGCTTCCGTAATGCCTTTATAATGCATTTATAGAACATTCATACGCAGCATATAAGTATACCGTAACATCCTATCATAGCTTAACAGACGTTATGATACAATTATAATGTTTGTTATTAATGTATATTACAGCTGTCATGTCTTGTACATTAAACCTATTATGAATGGAATGTTTTAAGACATGCTAAGATATACTGGCATGCTGCTTATGAGTTTTCTATGAATGCATTATGAAGGTACACTGACTGTTCTATTAATGCATAATGAATGCATTATAAAGGTGAAATTAACGTGAAGCGTTACTGAATAGTGTATATTTCTGGAGGTTCTGCCTTCACTTTCAGGCTCTGCAAAGAACCCATTGTTTCAGCTCTTTCTCCCACAGAACAGCTGCAGTATTCTAGCTGTTTTGTTTATCTGTAAAATAGCTGGTTAACTATTAGCTATTTAGAAGTTAATTTGCTTGTTCTTTAGCGAATATTTCTGCAGAAGACATTATTATTCATTTTTTCTCAACCAAATCAAAGTGTTATGATTACTTGGTTTGTGAAGCAACAATTAGTCACTAATATGTTAATTTAAATTTAGTGTGAGCTGTTAAAGAAATACATATGTACAGTAATATGTGTTGCACTGTATATTTGCACCCCAGGGGTATGAGATGATCCCCCATGCCATCGCGCTTGGAACTTGCATTTTTGCATCTGGGAATGAATTGGTGTTGTTGTAGTGTGTATGAATGTATGGGTCTGTGTCCTGTACTGGACTAGCAGCCTGGCCTGGCTGGCTCCAGGTAATCCCGCACTGGATATGAAGTAAAGATGGAAGACAGCTGGACTAAATGTCATTCAAGGATGTTAAATTCCCCTTGACATGGTGCACTTTGTTTTACTGATGATTGAAGGTATGTTGTTGATGTTTCACCACAGGGGAATTCTAGGAGACAAGGAAAGCCTGGGTTTCCTGGTGTTAAAGGACAAAAGGTGTGTTTAATCTATATCTGTGCTCTTGCAGTGCAGAGTGCATGTTCCACAGCCCTAGCTTAGCTTGAGTTAACCAGCCCTTTTGTTTTCCCAACAGGGTCTTATAGGTCCTAAGGGACATAAAGGAGACTTGGGAATGAGAGGACACATGGTGAGATACAGCTTTGAATGGGGAAACATGGTTTTGGACACTAGAATGAAAGCTAACTTGTTCTGATGTCACTGGTATCAATGGTGGTTTCACTATCAGTGTCACTCTTATTGAAATACACCAGCCTCTGTAATCGCACCTAAGCCTGAGCTGATAGCTCTTGTATCTTAAATAGGGCTCCGTTGGGCCTAGAGGATTCAGTGGGGCTCTGGGCCCCAAAGGCAGGAAAGGACCACCAGGGCCACATGGAGGCAAGGGCCATCAAGGGAGACCAGGCCCAAAAGTCAGATTTGTTAAAACCAGTCTTCTTATATCATTTTAACAGAATAAGAATTTTCTAGCATCGTTGTTTAGGGTTTTTGGCTAAATTCCATTTCTTAACATTTTTGGAGGGCTTGAAAGGCAGCAAAGGAATTAAAGGAAGGAAAGGTGCCATTGGTAAACCGGTAAGTTATTATAAATTATTATTACACAGGTCTACCAAAAGTAATTCCTTTCAGGTGCCAAGGTTTTTTTTAAATAGATTTAGGGTATTTTGAGGGTGCTGAATTTAAAAATACCATTACTTTTGCTGAATTGGTTCTAGTTTTTGAGATAATGGACATCCATAAAAATAATGCATTCCCCCAATGCGACTTGTGTGTGATAACAAATGCAATAGCTTTTGGTCTGTCTTTCGACTCTTTAACAGTGTGTTACGTCGGAATGGGGAAGCAGGCAAAACGAGCCGTGAAGAAGGGCAAATGGGGTCAGGGAAACAGACTAGGAACATGCAACGTCAATAACAGACTTGGGGAAACAGACTTGAATGCGGACTAAATACAGGACATGACATCAGAAGAAATGCAAGACAGCTGGTACGATGGGAATTCACACGTGGGTAATGAGGTGGGCATGGCACACACGAGGACTGGATGCGCAGGTCATGACAGAACCCCCCCCCCAAGGCATGCACTCTGGGCGTGCCCCAAGGGGAGCGGCAGACAGGACGAGACCAGGAACAAGATGAACCAGGAAAACAAGACAAGACCATTACCGGGACACAGGAAACAGGACCGAAACACAAAACAGACACAAGGGCAGAAACCACGACAAAACCTGACAAAGCACAGGGAACGCGGACAGGCAGACCAGGAAGTGAGACACCAACGGAAGGGACAAAAGGACCAAGAGTGAACGGAGACACGACAAGACAACAAGGAGCTGAGACAGGAGACACAGAGGGATGAGGAGGAAACACAGGAGGCCTAACGGGATAGGTTGGGGACAAAGGGAGCCAGGTGGGCTATGGGCAGCAGCCGGATGGGCCGCAGGTGACCGGGAAGCAGGAGCAGGAGGGGATCACGAAGGGGGCAAGGAGACTGGCCGAGGGACAGACAAAGGGGACGAGGAGGGAGTCAGATGGGGCACCAGGGGAGGCAAGGAGGGAGTCGGAGGGGACCCCGACGCAGGCAAGGAGGGAGGTGGAGCCGCAGCAGGCGACAGCGCAGTCACAGTCGGCGAAGGCGCAGCCGACCGACGAGTTGGAGGAGGGGGAGCTGCAGGCAACTGACGAGTCGACGTCAGGGAACCCGCAGGCGACCAACGAGGCATCGGAGGCGGGACCAAGGACTGTCGACGAGGCATCGGAGAGGGATCCACAGGCGACCGCAGAACCGGAGCCAAAGGACCCGCAGGCGCCCCCCAAGTCCCAGCCAAAGCAAGAGAGGGCGAGCCAGGGGGCAGGGCAGGCGGGACCTGCGCCTGTGTCCTCTCCCCTTTCGGGACACTGAAATGCGGGGTACTGGTCAGGATCGACCTCGCTGAGGCGAGGGCAGAGGAGTCATTAGGGAGGTCCCCGAGGGGTCCCACTCGAGCTCCTCCTCCACCAAGGGGGAAGGAGCAGTGGTCAGACTGTCTGGGACCTCCTCGGGGACTGGGACTGGTGCCAGGGGAACTGGAGCAGGGTCAGGGACCGGGACGGACAGAGCCTGGGCCGGGGCATCAGGTACGGTCAGAGCCTGGGCATCAGGCGCGGGTGGAGCCGGAGCAGGAACCAGAGCCTTGGGCGGAGCCGGAGCAGGGGCCGTGGGCGTAGCAGCAGGCGGTGCCATAGCAGGGGCCGCGGGCGGTGCCGTAGCAGGAGCCGCTGGTGTAGCCTGTACCTCGGGCGTAGGCGGAGCTGCAGGCAGCGCCGGGACCT